TTTTTTTTTTTTTTTTTAAGTCTTTATATATCCTTGCTCTCATTCTTGTTCTCATTGCTCTAAATTTCCTTTGAAAATTTAGGAGGTTGTGAAAAATGGGAGAGGAAGTGGTGCTCTTGGATTTTTGGGCTAGTCCTTTTGGGATGAGGGTGAGGATTGCCTTGGAAGGGAAGGGGGTCAAATATGAATACAAGGAAGAACAGCTGGCACTTATGCAAAAGAGCCCCCTTCTTCTTCAATCAAATCCTGTCTATAAGAAGATCCCGGTTTTGATTCACAACAACAAACCCATATGTGAATCTCTCATTATCCTTGAGTACATTGATTCTGTATGGAATGACAAGTTCCCTCTGTTGCCTTCTGATCCTTATCAACAAGCTCAGGCCAGATTCTGGGCGGGTTTCAGTGCAAAGGTCCATCTCCTTCCTTCTTGCCTTCATTCATAATCTTTTGTTAATTATTGACTCCCACTAGTGCTTGATCCATTAATGACATTTTTGTTCATTTTCAGCCTGGATTGACATTTTTTTAGTTTTTTTTTTTTTTCAATAGCTGTTTCACTTAAAAGTTTAAATTGATTTAAGAATTATCTTTATTCCTAATATACATTATTTACATAATGATATAGTTATATGAGTTTGGAAAAGAAATATGGATGAAAAAAGGAGGTGAGCAAGAAAAGGGAAAGACAGAGTTGATAGAAGGACTGAAACTGTTTGAGAAGGAGCTAGGGGAGAAGCCATTCTTTGGAGGTGAAGCCATGGGGCTAGTAGACGTGACTCTAGTGCCCAATTTCACCTGGTTTTATGTCTATGAGAGATGTGGCAACTTCAGCATTGAAGAAGAGTGCCCCAAGTTGATGCAGTGGGCAAAGAGGTGCATGGAAATAGACTTTGTGGCTAAGAGCCTTGCTGACCGACACAAGGTTTACGAGTTGGTTACAAAATCAAAGAAGAATCTGGGTTTGGAGTAGGCAAATTTCTGAATGTTGGAATAATCATTCCAAGTTCTTCAGTTCAAGTTTTCTTATGAATAAATTTGTTCAGTTTTTCTTATAAATAAACGTCATAATCTAAATGTCTTTGTATATAACAATTATCAAAAAGAGAATGGTAGAGTACAATTCGCTTACAATTTTTAAATTATTGATGAAATGGTGAGACCTTAATATTAAGGAGCAAGCTTTTCTATTAATAGTTATAAAAAGTATAGTCTATACTTAAATTTTTGTATCAAAAAATATAAACATTTGTCTAGAGTTGGCGTAGTAGATCCACAGTGGCTAGACGAAAAGCAAAGCAAATTATTTTCTCAAAACTAAATAAATTAGTTTTTTTTTTCATATAAAACTTTCAAATTAAAATTTACATAAAACATGGTGATGGTGGTCTTTGATCCTAAACCTTTAGGAGTAACAGCTATTCTTCAATGGAGCAATCCACATGACAAGAGATTCGACAAGAGGAAGGGATAAGTATTAGACCAAGGCACCTTTGTTCCACTGGAGAGGGAGTGGAGCATCTAGTACTTCGATACTCCAATGCATCTTGGAGAATGATGTTACCCTGCTTGTCCTTGCAGTGGAAAGTGCCCAGGAAAAACCTTCCATCCTTGATTCCCAACATCATCCTATGGAACAACAGCTTCCTTACTTACAGCATCTGAACTACTTAAGTTAGATCCATTTGAGCGATCCACCTGGGCCAAGGATTCTCTGCTTCTTGTTCCATCACATTGTTGCTTGAATAACTGTTAGCAGAAACAATAAGAATTATTTGGGTCTATCAAAAAATTTTTTTTTTTAAATAACTTTTTGTAGGACAAAACCAACTACAGAGAAAATTGTTTATTCTCCTTAGCTTTTTGCATAATACAAATCAATCATGAAATTTACAATGTACTACACCTGCTATGTCATGTATAAGCAACATTCCTATTGCTGCGAATAATGACATAGCAAAGAATTTTGAAAGGAATGAGGACCCTTAAATTCATCAGAGTAGGAAAAAAATAGAATGACAACAGGTCAGGAATCAAATTTGCAAATGTACTACTTTGCCCTAGCACATGCAAGAGGCCACACCCTTCACCTGTATGGGACCAAAAGTTGCTGGACCTAACCCAACTCACCTAGGGATTCCTTAGCCAAATTTACTGTATTTAATTTAATAAGCATTCCAATGCATAATGATCAAGAGCCCAAAGCAAAATAACTGCAATCTAAGTTTACAAGAAGATATACACAAAAGGACAAACACATAAGAGGTAATCCATGAAATATGATATATATACTGTGACCAGCTTTTGAATGGAAACAACTTTCCACACCTATTCCTAACAGGGGTGACCCCTTGTTTTTGGAAACTAAGAACATCTTCTCTTTGATGCAGCTAACTAAGAACTTCTTAAACCACTTTGAATTTGATAACTGAAACAAAAACAAGGGATCAAGCATGCATTACAGTCACTAGAACCAATAAAATCTCTTTTTATTCTTCATGATCAAAGGAACCAAAAATCCCTCATTTTCATACCCAATTCTAAATCTTGAATCCCACAGTCAATTTTCCACAGAAAGCCAAATCTCCTTCCACTCAACCTTGAACATTTTCACTTTTGGGATAACCCTGGACGAAGGAATTGGTCGAGATTCCCGAACAAATCCTTAAAGAAGCTCTAATCAGCAATGTCAATTAATGAAGAAAAAACAACATTAGACTAAGGTCCTGTCTATCCTACACAATATTGCATATACATCAAGCACCAAGGCTGACTAAACACCCATCCTATCCACTACCAAACCAGATGTTGGGTACCCTTTTGAGGCCAAAACCATCCTCTCCAAGGTGAAGAAAATACTAGGTATCTATGATTTAAAGTTTCTTTATTTGCCCCCAGCCTATTGTGCTCATCACCTAATATTTCCAATCAAACACATAACAAATAGAAATAGTGTAATTTTCTTCAATTATGAGCCAATTGTTTAAATCAAAGAAATCTGTATTTACTAATTTCAAAACAAATTTAGCTATATATGAGAACAAATTCTAATCCACTGTAAGTAGAGATCACAATAAACTCAAAACCGCTAAATTCCTTTAGCACAAAGATGGTGGATGAATAAAGATTATACAAAAAAAAAAAAAAAAGAACTTTAACCCTAGATAAATCAAGAAGCATATTGAAACCTGAGGAGAGTGGAAAGACACTTACTTGGAAAGAAGAAGAAGGTCTGGAGAGCGTTGTACAGAGAGAAGAAGAAAATCTACAAGTACTTATAACATGAAGGATCTAATTAAACTCTTTAAAACAAGAAGGGCTAAATTGAACATTAAGAACAAGTAAAATGTCTGAATCAGGTATTTGGCCTTATTGTCAGACGACAGTTAGTTAGACGGCTTAATTAATTTCAGGGGACATCAAAGAATCTAAATCTTTGCAAATGATTCTCAATCTCGACCGTCAATCTTCATGACGAAAAATTCCATACTTTGACCTTCCCAAATTATAGTACTACGAATCCAACAAGAGCTTGAGAAAACTAAAGGGCAAAGGCCTTCCCTCTTCCCCTCTGCGTTAATAAGGGTTTCTCTTCCCCTCGTCTTCCTCACATTCTCTGGTACGATTCTTCATTCCATTCCAAAAACTGGGTTTTGCTTCAAAACTCCTTCTAAAGTTATTTTTTTCCCCAATTCTTTTCCTTTTTTTTTTTTTTTTTTTTTTTTTTTT